CTCGTCGTCTGCTCCTTCCCGCAGCTGGAGGTCAATGCCGCCAGTCCCCCACTACTCATGCACCGCGCTGCCCACATAGAACCGCAAGCACTCACGCAATGATCTGATTCACAGGTGGTGTATGAGATCTACAAGGTGGTCGAACTCACGGCACCCTACATTCCCGGATATCTGGCATTCCGTGAGGTGCCCGCTCTGGTGGGCCTCATCGACCACATCCGAAGGAATAAGCCCCAGTACTTGCCCCAGGTAACACGACACACACGACACACACACACACACACACGACACACGACACACGCACACACTAACATGCGTGCCTTGATGCAGGTGCTGCTGGTCGACGGCAACGGTGTGCTGCATTACGGCGGCTTTGGGTCGGCGTGCCAGCTGGGCGTGGTGTCGGGGATTCCCACCATCGGGGTGGCCAAGAAGCTTCTCTGCGTGGACGGTCTCACCTCGGAGGTGGACATCGACCGGTGGCTGGCCAGGTGCCAACAGCTCGGGCGGGAGTGGGTCGAGATCGAAGGCCGCTCGGGCCAAATACACGGAGCGATGATCCGACCCCAGTCCGGCCGGCAGACTGCCGCTGCCCGCAGCCGAGGCGGCAGCGCCGACCCACCCACGCCGCTGTTCGTCTCCCTGGGGCACCGCGTCAGTCTACAGACGGCCGTCCAGGTCACCCTCGCCTGCATCCAGCGCACCATGCCCGAGCCCATCGACCAGGCCGGTACGCACGCCACCCTTACAGTCACCCTTGATAGGGTCCGCAAGACGTCTTACATGTCTTGCACGTGAACTGGTGGTCAGACCTGCGATCTCGTGAACACGTGCGGAAGCTCAACCAAGATTGTAAGAGAAAGGGCGAGCAGCGACCCCCCTACGGCCTGATGCTTGAGAAAGTGCACAACGGCTCGTCAGCGTCGTCCAGTACTGGGGCCTCGCCTTCGGCCAAGCCCACGCAGCCAGGGCCAGCAGCAACTCAGCCAAACAGAGGAATGCGCGCGTGGGTGGCAATAGACCAAAATGATCCATCTGCGT